TGCTGCCATCTTCTGTTTCAGTCCGTTATTACACTCTTAAATCCTACTACTTATTCCTGCGTCTTGCTCGTGACTAGTCGACTAATCGTGGCAGCCCTAATCTGATGATGTGATACAATAGTGATTAAGATTCTTTAATGAACATAAATAATCTGCTCCCAACCCTGGTGATTTAACCAAGTACACTTTCATGGTACATAAAACTCTAAGCTTGACATAGATGACTAAGCCGTTAATCTTGCTTCATAGAACAACCCTCAGTTCTTGGGTGTTTATGCAGTCTGCAGTGTTATCATTATTAGGTGGAGAAGAAGGAAAAAAGGAAATAAAAAAAGCTTACCAAGCTAGGTTACCTTATGCCACCAGGCTAAAGTCGATTTATCTGCCTCTGGTAAATCAACACCTTAGGTAAACCGTAACCTCAAACCCTTCTGTGTAACCTGCGCCATCACCTGCTGTGCACCTCTCTACAAATGTAACTGCACGTCATGGAAACACAGCTGCACAGGCATAAACATGGGAACAGTGTTGGATGCTTGTGCAGGCTTCGTTGTAGCCTCTACAGAGCAGAAGCCTAAATTCAGTTTAAAGGGAATGGCATGGTTTTGTCGCTCTGTCGCTCCTTTACCTTTTCAGTCAACACTTGACCTACAGAAAGCGTCATCTCTTTCAGGCTATGTACAAAAACACAGGCTGCATATAGAAAATACTTCACTTTACATAGCCAAAGATAAAGGCAACCGCACCATCATGAATCCTACTTATGAGCACCAAGCAGAAGGTGGAGGTCACAAATGTACACTCATAAAAAGGGGTTTAAATATAACTGTCAGATGTTCTCTTGACCTTAGGACACAGACAAGCTTGCCACAAAAGCCTAAAGAATAGGTTTATTACCATGTGAAGGCAATGTGTACAGAATTTAAAAGAGTGTTTATCTCAGAAGTCATCATCCAACCATGTATCCTGATCACCTGGTAACACTGAGTGCTAACGGGGTTTGAATAATAGCAGCAGTGAACTCACTGTGACACTGTTGTACACTTTCTCGGTCATGTTGTCTGCGACCAACTCGAGATCATCTTCTGTGATTTCTTCTACCGGACGAATAATGTGAGGTTTGCTTCGATTACCTCGTGGGACGCCACGACGCCGTGGAGCTTGGCGTATCTGAAACAGATGATGAGAAGAATAATCCACTTAGCTTCAAGTTTTACATGGATACTGACAAGAAACAGATTAGAGAATAGAGCAGAATAAAATGATGGCTTTCACTCACTGCCACACTCCTTATCACTCTGGTTCTCTAAATGTTTGTATAGTGTTGGTTGAGGAAAGCATACGGACAGTTCAGAACACTAATGTTTATTAGATTTTCTTGACTGCCATCTATTTCAAAGCTAAACCAATAAATAAATCACATGTAAATATGTACATTACTGCACTATATTGAACAAATTCTCCAAAGGCCTTGTAGACTTTAACTGGCTGCTGATAAGTGACAGAACTGACCTCCAGCAGCTCCTCCTCCAAGCTGAGCTCCACTTCTGCCTCCTCAGCGGCCAAAGGATCCTCCGTTCCCGACATGGACCTTGTCAGCCTGCGAGATGCCCGCTCTGGGTTTCTCTTGGACTCCCCTCCAGTCACAGCAGATCGCGGCGGATGCTGCAGGAGAGATATGATCCATAAAGAAATTCAAAAATTCAGAGATCTGCTGAAAAGTCCAACATTTTCCACGACACTCACAGAGCTTCTGTCTTTTGCCTTCTGTTTGCCTGCTTGTTTCTTCAGCAGCCCTGCACCTCCTGGCATTTTCTGCAGGTCTGCCATCAGCTGGGCCAACTGTTAAAGATGAGCAACAGGAGTCACTGTAGAAGGTCAGCACTTGAAAGTATTATTGTACTATTCACTGAGACCAAATTTGTTTGTTTTCACATCAGTTTGTCACATTTTAAACTCGGTATGTGGTGCCGTGTCTGATTTACCATGGCTTTGTTGGCTTTAATGTTCTGCTCTCTCCTGGCCAGGAAAGTGTCCGACGCATCATCTGCTGAATCAGAACGATGGTCCTCAGTCGAAGCAGGCCGAGCTGCTGCTGCCTCGCCATCCTCGAATTTCACGTGTCTCTCCTTCTTTGTCCTATTGCGCTGTCCTGTCCTTTTCACTCCTTTCTTGTGTGTCGTCCTCTCCTCCGCCTCTGCATCCTCATCATCGGTGGACTGCTGGGTAGAGGGAGCTGAGCGCAGAGCCACCCTCAGCCTGAAGGGCTTAACTGTAGAAGTAGCAGATGCTTTAGATGTAGTTTCCTCCTCCTTGGGGAAAATGTCAGGCTGAGCTTCATCTTCATCTCCAAAACTGCAATTCTGTTGAATATCAACACAGAATAACAGATCTTTTTGCCAAATCCCTTTACAGAAGTAGTCTGTCTGAATGAATGCAGAGTAAAATTACTGGATTTGGCAACACTTTATGATGAAACAACCAAAATACATGCCAATTATAATTATTGGGGCGATAGTGGCTCAAGAGTTGGGCGTTCGTCTTGTAATCGGAAGGTTGCCGGTTCGAGCCCCGGCTTGGACAGTCTCGGTCGTTGTGTCCTTGGGCGAGACACTTCACCCGTTGCCTACTGGTGGTGGTCAGAGGGCCCG